TGGTGTTCCATTGTTACGGACTGCGAACGGGCACAATGATTCGGCCTTGTGCTCAATAACAGAGAAATAGATTTGTGTGAGGGCTTAGATGAAATAAAAAACCCAAAGGTAAAATTAAATGAAATGGGAGAAGAGGTTTTACTTGAAATTGAATCGACAAGAATGGTCCCAACACTTGAGCAGCTCTGTGGCACAGTGGTGAGCATTGCTGTCTCGCAGTACTGGGGCTCTGGGTTCAGTTCTGGACCTGGGGTGCTGTCTGTGTGGAGTTTGTATGTTCTCCCTGTGTTTGTTGGGGTTTCCTCCCACACTCCAAAGACATGCTGGTACATTCATTGGTTTCTGGGAAAACTGGCCCTGGTGTGGTGTTTGTGTGCTCTGTGATGGACTGGTGTCCCATCTGGAGTGTATCCTACCTTGCTCCCCCGAAATTGGGTAATTCAGTTAGAAAATGGATGGATGCCTTCATGATATGTTTCTTTTGTGCCATATATATTCCTGGGGATTTACATGTTTACAAACATTTACATTGTTGTTTTATATCTATAAAGTTACAAACACATTTTTCCTGTACTGTACGTGGCTATCTCCATGTCTATATTTAAGTAGCCCTTTGTGGATAGTTTTATGGCTGGGCAGCTTGTTCCACATTGTGACCACGCTTCTGGTAAAGATGTGGCTCCTCATTTCAGTTTTAAATGTAATGTAAACATTTATTTTAACAATCAATCAACATCAATCAAAATGTTTTTGTTAAACAAAAACATTTATCTTAACAATCAATCACCCCTTCACTCCATGAATTAACACACAGCACACCTTCCACACAAACGTGAACGGTTTCTGTACACACTGAAAAAGAGGTGCGCGTTTTCTCCTGGTCATACGGCCAGTTTGTGACCTCTGACCCTCCGGCGTATCACGGCTCTAGTACTTCCGGGGGGAAACGTAAACTCATCACAAGCGCAGCTGGAATGGCACTGCGGTGCCGCACTATTAAGAAACCGGGAACGAGTCCTTTCTGAACTGAGCAGCACGATGGAGGGCCCCGTGTATATCTCCGCTTTTGAGAGCCAGCTCTCCTCCTTCATGGATTGCCTGCTGAAGCAAGCCGTGTCCGGCATCACCAGGCTGGTGGAGGACAGCGTGGTCGGTCTGTACGGCGAGATCGCCAGTAAAGAAGCCGAAATCAAGGCGCTGTCGGACAGGCTGCAGGAGTGCGAGCGAGAGCTGGCGCTGGTGGGGACGGGCGAGGGCGACGTCCGCCCGGGCGGCAGCGAAACGGACGATGGACCTGCGGGGGGAGAGGGGGGCTGTGACCTACGAGCGACGTCTGCCGGTAAGAGCCTGGAGGTCGTCGCGACGCTGGCCTCTGAAGCCGGGACTCTGTGCGTGAGAGTCGCCCCGCTTGCAAGATGCCGGAAAGTGGTGAAGTTGTTAACCTGCCGCCGACCACGTTCACTGTGACGCTGGCTGCTGCAGAACTGCCTGTGAACTCCACACAGACCTGGGTTTGTTTCATTAGTCCGATGGCGAACTAATGACACAGACCTGTTGCGAAAACTGAGGGTGCCTTATCAGTCACTGAAATGCATTTCTCTGACCCGAGCCTTAAACCTCACGCACGTCGTGTTGACGAGAGGTGGCGCGGCGGGCGGTACCTGGCGCCTTTCTCAATCAAAGACGGGCCGGGTGGCAGAGAACAGCGAGACCGAGGGGTACATGTGAAGTGGGCTTCGTGTGTGACCTCCCCGAGTGTTGATGTCCAGTCCCGTGTACATCCGCGTCATGCCAAGAACTTTTTTCCACGGGACAATATTAGGGCTCCCCCTACCGACAATCTTCTCTCTTTGCTTTTAACATTAAATATGGCTTAGGAATTGAGACTTGAATCTTTTTTTTTTCCCTGCCAGTTTGAATAACTCCCTTTCATTAAGGTCCTTCTAGATGCCCCTTGTGTATTTCGTTGTAGCTGTCTCTCTCTCTCTCTCTTGACTGTGGCGACAGTGAAAACCGACTCTTGTCAAAGCTGTCTTGTCTGAGACTCCCAAACCGTCGCCTCTCCTGCATGAGTCAGCTGTCTTTGCTGGATGTCATTCCAGTACCGTTTCTCTCAGCGTCTGCAGTCCAAGTCTTTTCCGTTAGCCATCTTCAATGATTGCAGTGCTTCTTCTGTTGTGGCTCTGGGGCTCGGGATCAGCGCCTGTGTGCTGGAAGGTTGCTGGTTCGTATCCCTCAGCCGGCAGAGGAATCCTACTCTATTGGGCCCCTGAGCGAGGCCCTTCACCCCAGCTGCTCCAGGGGTGCTGTATAAATGGCTGACCCTGCGCTCTGACCCCCAGCTTCTCTCCCTCTGTCTGTGTGTCTCATGGAGAGCAAGCTGGGGTCTGTATAAAAGACAAGTAGTTGTATATGGCCAATAAAGTGATCTGATCTTATCCTCGTAACTCTTCAGAAAGCGGTCCTCGATCCATGTGCAATGTGCTTGTGTTTGCTCGGCTTGTGGCTTTGACTTCTAGAGCCAGACCTCTATACCTCCGAGCTCTCGTTAACATCCCCCAAACTCTCAGAGGAGCCTGGTCAGAGGTTTCTTAACAGCCGAGCACATACACACACACTGCAGACACATGAAGACCAGCTCGACGCTCGATGCTGACAATCGGAGAAGGCGGTGCTGCCATCTTGTGGAATAATAAGCCATAGCGCCCCACTCTAACTTTCTCTGTGATGAGGTGAGGATGAGGCAGATAGGTATGGTCAATTTGGCCATGACACCAGAGCGACGCCCCTCCTCTTTTTGAGAAACGCCCTGGGAGTTTTAATGACATCTCATCCGAAGGAAGGCACTTTTTTACAGTATAGCGTCCCGTCACTATACCGGGGCATGAGGACCCACCCAGACCGGCAGTAACATCCGCTTTCCCGGGAGTCTCCCCTCCAGGTACTGACCAGGCTCACGCCTGCTGAGCTCCAGTGGGCTGCCAGCTGTGAGCTGCAGGGGGATGTGGCCGCTGGCTGCCTCGCAGTGCTGGGGCCCAGATCTGTGGAGCTGTCTGCATGGCATTGTCATGTTCGCTTGGTATTTGCCTGGGTTTCCTCCCACGGTCCAAAGACAGGCTGGGGGGTTCATTGGCGTCCGGGAGAATTGGCCCTGGTATGAGTGCGTCTCTGTGTCTGCCAGCCCTGTGATGGACGAGCGTCCTGTCCAGGGTGTACCCTGCCCTGCACCTGTTGCTTGCTGGGATAGACTCCAGCTCTCCCTCAGTCCGGTCCTGGAGAATGCCGTTAGAAGGTGGGTGGGTGACCTGAAAGCCATGCAGTCTCCTGTGTTTCTTCCTGTGGTCTGCGCTGTGAATGCTGTGCGTGACCATGTTGTTTCTTGCCGCCCGCAGGACAGGAGCCGGCTTACTGCGGCGCCAAGGCCGCGGTGGTGACGCCGGCGTACCCGGACATCGTCCACATCATCGTCGCCCCCCAGCCCTTCCCCGCCTCGGAGCAGGAGGCCTCGTTCGCGGCCGCCACCCTGGCCGGCGTGGCCAACGAGCACGATTACGAGCCCCTCGCGCCCCCCGGCTGCCCCAGAGGGGGCCCTGTTGAGGAGGAGGAGGAGGAGGAGGAAGAGGAGGGGGACGAGGGGTATTACAACGGCGTCTCTGATTCCCAACCGGCCGCGGGACAGGGCGAGCCCGGCGTCCTGCTCCTGGCCCCCGTCTCCCACCCCGCGGGGGTTCCCGAGGACCAGAAGAGACCGCCGCCGCCGCCCGCAGACGGGAAGCCCTACGGCTGCGGCGCCTGCGGCAAGAGCTTCGGCCAGGCCCAGCAGCTGTGGCGCCACCAGCGGGCCCACGCGGGCAAGCTGCGCCACCTCTGCCAGCAGTGCGGCAAGAGCTTCGGCCAGCGGGGGCACCTGGTGGCGCACCTGCGCTCGCACACGGGGGAGCGTCCCTTCGGCTGCGGGGCCTGCGGCAAGCGCTTCAGCCGGCCCGAGACCCTGAAGAAGCACCAGAGCGTGCACTCGGGCGTCACGCCCTACGCCTGCCCCCAGTGCTGGAAGAGCTTCAGCCGCGGGGACTACCTCAAGTCCCATCTCGCCACCCACGCGGCGCTCAAATCCCACCTCTGCCCCCACTGCGGCAAGGCCTTCGCCCAGGCCAAGCAGGTGAAGATCCACGAGCGCGTGCACACGGGCGAGAGGCCCTACTCCTGCCCCGTGTGCCAGAAGGCCTTCAGCCAGCTGGCCGCCCTCAGCGTCCACAAGCGCATCCACACGGGCGAGAGGCCCCACGCCTGCGCCCAGTGCGGGAAGCGCTTCGGCACCCTGGGGGCCCTGCAGGTGCACCGCCGCACCCACTCGGACGACAAGCCCTTCTCCTGCACCTCCTGCGCCAAGGCCTTCCGCACGGCCAAGCTGCTCAAGAGCCACCAGCGCACCCACACGGCGGAGAAGCCCTTCGGCTGCGGCGAGTGCGCCAAGGCCTTCAAGACGGCGGCGGAGCTGCGGCTCCACCAGAGGGCGCACACGGGCGAGCGGCCCTACGGCTGCGAGCAGTGCGGCCGCACCTTCCACCGCGTGCACCACCTGGAGTACCACCGGCGCACCCACACGGGCGAGCGGCCCTACGTCTGCGACGTGTGTGGCAAGAGCTTCGGCCGCGCGCAGGTGCTCAAGACCCACCGGCGCGTGCACACCGGCGAGGCGCCCTACGCCTGCCCCGAGTGCGGGCTGAGCTTCAAGCAGCTGGGGAACCTGCGCTCC